GGACTGGTAAAATGAGCATAACCTACAATTCAGGTAGTATTGCCTCTATATCCACAATGTGATAGGATCATGTGTATAGACATAGTAGATGCAAAGTGTAATTTTTCGTACCTTTATCACTACAGTATCTAGAGCCTCACAATTGAAAAAAGTGGATCTGATGGCCCTTATAATTGAGTAAAGTGGACTATAACCTAAATTAATTGCTTATTTTTTAATGATTTAGGCAAATGTCACTTCCGTTTCGGAACTACCAAATATTTCCATGCTACTTCGAGCCCAGATTCTGTCTTCGGGACATGAAGATAAGTCTACTCCTCGGCAACTTATCCAGGATCGTCTTAATGAGGGTCGTCTTGGTGATTACCTTCTTGTGAATGGGAATTCCAGCTCTATCTATATAGACCCTGATGTCTCACGCTACACTGGTGAGAATTTTTATATAAAATGAGACTGATTGTGATCAGGTCTTATCTATTCTAATGTCTGGATGACCATTCATTTAGGCGAAGAGTATGCATCCGAATTATTTTGTAAGATGCCTTTGTCACAATTATTGTGTTGGGATTGTCAATTCGAACAGTCACGGTATCATGACAACTAATGCGCCGAAAAGAACTCAAAATATTTAGCGTTTATTCGTTATCTTGCATATGAATGCACAGTACACATCGATAGTGTAAATGAGAATAGGTTATCATTCTATATATATATATATATATAATCGTCGGAAGATATGCCAAGGACTATAGCTTTCAAAAACAGGCATAGAAAAAACGCTAAGTCCGTTAATGTAAGGTTTCCTTGCGGCAAAGCTGGTCTCTGAATCGTTTTTTTATCTTACACGAAATAATAAACAAATACCTTAATGAAAATACCTTAATGAAAATACCTTACTTACTATGTCTACTTTGTTAAATAAGTTTTTTTCGAAGTCATTTTATTTTCTGAATCCCTTTTTATCCCCACTACATTCTTATTGTCTATCATGCCCTGCATCTTAGTTGTAATGTTAATTTTTCTTGCTTCCTTCCTCTATCAGACCCTATTCCTGAATACCTACTTAACTCGGATACACAACGAATGATAGACTCCACTATTAATACCATAAGTCCGCACGAACAAAATCAAGTAATTCTATCTTGCGTGTATTATATTTGCTTTTTATTTCTCATTTTTATTCATTTTATTTGTCTATTTTTTGACTTATTGCTTACCAGTTTAGTTGGAATCAGTGTAGACATAAATTGTATGCATTTCAGGCAGATCTGATCCTCTGTTCTGCTTCTCTTTGTGGTCTATGATTTATGCGATTCATTTGTTTCTTCTCCCTTAATTAATCTTGATTCTGAGCGAAAATCTAATACCCAGCACTATTCTATTCTTCGATCTCTTTTACCTATGAATTTTATGCCAGTGCTGCTTTTTCATGCTTAAATTGCTCCCCTTATTCTAGTTTCCTATTACTTTTTATGAAGCAGCTAAATTTTCCAAGTGTATTGACTAACCATGCTAGTTAACCCATTATATTCCGACTGTACTCGTATTTAAGCCTATTAGGATCATGTGTTTTTATCATTCTTTTGTATCTAATTTTAAAAATTGCAATCCATATGCTCAAAGTTTTGTCTTTTATCTTTATGTATCAATGCATAAATGGTGATTTTTTAAATTTCTACCTAAATCACTTTTGTTTATCTTTTTCACATTTGATGTAAAACCTTTTAAAATATATTTTTATTATATTTAAGTTAAACGTCGATGAATCTTCATCAAGACAACTTAGAGGGATAAACACGAAAAAGTTTGGTATGTCTATCCATTTATTATATGTCTTACGTATTAGCTTTTTATCATTGTGTGGTCTCAAAGGGTAGGTCTCAAGATGATTCCAATATTGAAACCATAAGACCAAAATTAAACTATTTCAAGTGGTAGAGTTTCTGAATGAGCTGGAAGATTTACGACAAGACATATCAGCAAGCAGCAGATAGGTCTATACTTCAACGTTCAACCTGTTTATTGAAAGTTTAACACGATAGTTCCTTAGGTCCATTATTTCTCTATTATTAGCGTTTTTAAGGCCTAGTTAATAAATAGCTAAATCTGAAACTTATTTTTCCATCTTGTCATAGCTGCGAATGACAGTGGATTTTTTCCTACAGTGGTGTGAGTGACTTTCTAGGACAAGATCTATTCATTTAATTGCATGAAAGACTCTACTATTAATCTTCAAGTTATTTAGATGATCTAGGATGAAGAAAGTTCTTGTTTACAAAATTTCTGCTCTTTTATTGATATATTGACTGTACATAGGCTTAAGATAAGCCCCTCAATGCATCTTTGTAATATGCCTACCCAAAGTCATGAAGACCAAGCTATGAATATGAACTGCATAAAGACCTACTCAATATAAACATTGTAAATACGAAGAGAAACTGGGTTTCGATGAATCTTTTGAGATAACATTGTTGGGGGGGATTTAATTTCGTATGAAAGTGCATGAAGAAGCTATTCATTGGTCGATCTCACCAGCTGAAGACGGATGAATTCCGTTTTACTGCAACAGTTTGGTTTTTATACGATGTTCAGGTTGACGCAGTCCACGAGATTTGCTCCCTTTCGGGGAAGCCAAACGGCTGAAGTACAACGGGATTCATCCGTCCTCATCTGGTGAGACCGACCAACGAATCTCTTCTTAATGTACTTTCATACGAAATGAAAGTCCTCCCAGCAATCAATATAAATACAAGATTGTATGGTATGAATACCAAGATGGTATGGCCTTTTGTGTGGTCGCAGTCTTCTTTCGTTCTATAGAAACTGCTTAACCATGTATTCGCAACTTGGTCATATTGGTAGGAAGACTTAGAGGAACGCACCTAGTCCTGAGTCCATTTTATGCTCTCCTACTCTCTACTCTCCTGGGAATTGGCTGGGAAGCTACGGCCAATACTATGGAAATGGAACATTCGTACAATCCTGAGGTAAAGGACAGTCTTCTTCACCAAATTGCCTGACTAACATGAAGAAGTTAACAAAATGGAGTGCCCTGGAGTTAACATCATAAGCTACAAGGACTGTGAACAAAAATATATCAGAGATAATGAAGGAAAATCAGCACAGGTATCAAAGAACCACAGCGACTATGCAGAAAAATGGATATGGAAAGATCGGAGATAGCTGAAAACCGCCATTGCCGGTCACACAATTGACTAAAATGCAAATAAATGACTGGCCTCATGGGGAAGACAGCAGGAAACGGAAGATCAGGGAGGCTGTGGGCATCCTCTTTCAAATAAACCTGATGAACGGGAGATTGGAAGAGGGAAGAATCAGCGATGATTTCGTGCAATACCTGATCAGACTTGGAGATTAAACGAATAGATAAAAAAGATGCTTGGATCCAGGATAACTGTTCAACAACAGGAAGAGACATCATCAATGTGTGTGCATGCGTTTTTGTGTGCATTCTTCGTGTCTGTACCTGAAGGGGAGGTGACTGGCGGCATGCTTGACCACGAGGGGCACCAGTTAACACAGGAACATCATCCTAAAACCATAGGATTAGATGAGAGTGTTAACTTGAGAGACGAGAGAAGTGTGCTTTTCGCAATTAAAGCGGAAAAAACGGAATCGGTACATTTTCACACCAGCGGTTATGATTTAAGCCGGGTACAGGGCCCTGGGTTTGGAGCATAGAAAGACGAAGATTCCCAGGCACTGGCGCGGGAATGGGAATGAACATGGACATGCTTATCATCTGCTCTAAATCCATTAATATGAGAAGTAAAGGCTTTTAAGCAGCTAGATAGTGATTTTGGTGTTTGGCTGCGACCAATTGATAAGTGGAGTAGGTTAAATGGGGCAGATTATAGGTCAGAATCCCTGCAAACGTCACCTGGTTCCGGTGGTGGAGATGATTACGTTTCACTAAACTCACTTGTAGCGACACACTTAGGCGACATTGGAGGAAACGAGAGCACATAATTGTGTGAATAAGTGGACGGGCCATATAAAGTGGGATTGAGAGAAAGAGATGCAGCACTAGCAGGTTGGACAAGAACTAGGAGCAAAGAGTGATGCTACAACAGTTGAACAGAAAATTGGTCAAGGGGATTGCCTTCACTTGCCACGATGACGCCTCTCACTGACGATGCCGGGGAAACTTCTGGGACTATACCAATTCATTGACCCAATGCTGGAAATCAGGAATATTATGGTAGAGGACGCAGGCCTAGGTACGTTCCACAAGGTATCCTTGACGCTTCTACCAATTTATGAATTGGTTTTAAGGATGATATCTTGCTCTGATGATGTTCGTCATATGACGGACGAAAGATTAGCACATTTTCACCAGAATCGAAGGACATTACCTCGGGAACAGCGTCAACATAAATGTTCCAGTAAAGCCAATCGACAACTGGTCAAGAGGAATCCGCCGTCATCTTCTGGTAGAATCGACCTTCGAATCTCTCCATCAAACACTTTCATTCGAAATAAAAGTAAGCTCAACAACTATGTAACAAACGATCCCTCGAAAACCAACTTTCCTTCGCCCAAAAGTGTCGCTACAAGTGGGTTCAGTGAAGCGTAATCATCTCCACCACTGGTACCAGGTGCTGTTTTAGGGCTCCTGACCTATATTTTGCCCTTCTTTTTTCCCCTACTCGCTTTTCAAGTGCCGGTGCTAAGCAGCAAACTCATTTTGATGTCATATGTTCGGCCACTTATGGTAATTGGACCCAGCTGCTCTTACAATCCTTTTTGTGTTCATGTAATCTTTTGTGAATGGGCCTACACGTCTCACTAATATCAGCGTCAATCACTGGAGTACACAATATTGTAACAGTCCGATCTTGATAGTGGATCATATTTCTCTTTAAAAGATTATATGACCGAAGAAATTGTCAGGGTTTCTTTCAACACTGTTTTTATCCCCTACTTTCTCACTAGTTCGCTTACCTTCTTATAGAGAAGGCATTATGTCAAAATTTGGACACCAGAAAGGGTCTCTGTTTGTTTAACTTTAAATAAATTATCTCATGAAAATGTTTTCCTCAATAAAGAGATATTATTTTCAATTAAGCCTAAAATATAAGTATTATCAGGGAATTAATATTTCAGCCGTTACTATTCGCTAGTCTTATACTGATAATAATTGTTGAGAATTTTACAAGAATGAGTTCCAGCTCTGATGATACCCATCATATGATGTCACACGAAAGCCCAGCCTGATTTTACCCGAAACGAGCAAGGATGTCTTGTGGATTGCATCATCATGAAATTGATATTAAAGCATAATAATAGGAACTCGCTAGTATCTTCCTGCGGGGTCAACCAACGACTTTTTCATGCACTTTCATCAGAAATGAAAGTCTTTCCAACAAATCTGTATTTTGAAAGTTGTTTGAACTTGCTTTCACAACTTGTTCATATTGGCAGGAAGATCTAGAGGAACGCCCCTTGTCCGGAGTCCATAGTATGCATGGTACTTCCAGAATCGGAACATGGACTTGATACATTCCCAGACGTTTCACCGGCCTCACATTACAACTCGTCTAAGAGACAACTAAAGTCAATACTTTTGTCTCTTTTATGAGTTGTAGTGTGGTGATAAGAATGGCAAGGCTCACTGACGATGCCGGCGAAACGTCTGGGAATGCACAAAGTCTACGGTCCGACCCTGGAAATTATCATGCATACTACGGACTTCGGACAAGGTGTGTTCCTCCTTGTCTTCCTGAGAATATGACCAAGTTGCGAAAACAAGGTCAAACAAATTCTATAAAACGAAAGGAGACCACGATCATACAAAAGGCCACACCATCTTGGTCTTCATACATATGTTTTACCACTACAATCATCTGCTTTTCTTAT